GAGTTGCATTGAAAGACCTGATAACTTTGCTTTCCCACAAGTCCTCTTTAACCTATTATTTATTAAGGATGCTCCTTCTCTGCTTACTCAGTTTTTCTGCTGAATGCCCCCCCTTCCCTGTCCCTTTATCAGTTCTCTGCCTCTTTCCTGACTCTGCTGTTTTGTCTCAGGTGTGTGTGTGTGTGTGTGTGTGTGTGTGTGTGTGCTTGCGCATGGAGAGAGAGAAAGAGAGAGAGGTGGGGGAGAGGGGGAGAGAGAGAGAGAGGGGAAGAGGATGTATAAAAGCATAGTATTGGTGAAATGATATAGTATCAGTGAGATGTATGACATATAAATTCAATAAATAAATAATCAAATATGCACAATACTTTGGAAAGTTGCCCGCAGAATTATGTGCATAGGAAAAATGTGACTATTGGGAGAAACGGTTATGAAAATACATGGGGAAAAAAATCAAAACAAATTGAAGATCCATATCACAACGGCCAGACTGACAGCAAATGACATCAATACCTTATTAACGAGAAAATGTAACGCATGAAATTGAATGTTATTTATTCCAATGCTTAAAAAAAAGCAGATTTCTACATGGAAAAAAAGATTTCACTATATAAAGGCTTTCAGAATATTCAATACTTATCTCCAATGTCATTGTACATATGTTGTGCACTGACAATAAATTATATTATTGTTGTTGTTGTTGTTGTTCTCCAGTTTTTGTTTTTAGGAAAAGGATAACTTTAAAAAGGTAATAAAAATAATTCAGGGATCAAAACCAGATAAAAAAATGTAACAAGCAAGTCAAAAATCAAACAACCAGACTACTGGGTTGGCTTCTATATAGGATTTTTAGATTTATTATTTGATTTTTTTTTTTTACTTATACATGTATGCGTCATAAGTAGAGATTGGTCCCTCAGAAAGATCATACAACAAGCCCAATCATACAACAAGCCCAAATCAATCAATCAATCAATCAATCAATCAACCAACCAATGTTGGATAGAAAGAGAGCGGGAAGATGGAACTTCACTTGAGAAAAATCAAATGAATGGATTTAGACAAACTTGGATTGCCACATTCTTAGCACTGTGACTAAAAAAGCTTTTGCAAGCACATTCCATCACCTGTGGAACATCAGATGGGGGACTTAACAAAATACTTCAGCATTTACCCCGAGGGCCGTCTGTGGCAAGGATACCTAAGGAATTCACATAAAAGTTTATTTATTAACAAGACAGACATAAATGTTTCCTTGTGACACTCTAACTTTCTTTCTTTTTTTAAAACTTATTATTCAGGGTTTTTTTTCATACAAAAAAAGACAAATCAAAATAAAAAATTGAAGGGAAGGACAGAAGGAAGGAAGGAAGGAAGGAAGGAAGGAAGGAAGGAAGGAAGGAAGGAAGGAAGGAAGGAAGGAAAAGGATGTGAGAGTGGGAGGGAGAGAAGAGGAGGGAGAGAAGAGGAGGGAGAGAAGAAGAGAAGAAGGAAGGAAAAGGGAGGGGAGGTGGGAGGGAGGGAAAGAAAGGGAGAGGGAAGGAGGAAAAGGGGGGAAGAAAGGAGGAAGGAAGGAAGGAGAAGGATGGGAGAGTGGGAGGGAGGGATAGAAGAAGGAAGGAAGGAAGGAAAAGGAAGGGAAGGAAGGTGGGTTGGAGGGAGGGAGGGAAAGAAATGGAGGGAGGGAGGAAGGAAAAGAACAGAAAAGGAGGGAAGGGAATGGGAGCAAGGAAGAAAGGAAAGGAAGAAAGGAAGGAAGGAAGGAGGGAGGGAGGGAAGGAAGGAAGGTGCAATTAAAGAAAACACAAAACTTCAGAAATAACTCCAAACCTTCCTTTCAACAGATGCTTACAATCTTATTGTCAGAGGGTTGGACTAGAAGACCTCCAAGGTCCCTTGCAGCCTTACGATTCTATGAATCTACTTCAGGACAGGAAGGAGAAACCCAACCCAGAAGTCTGTAGGAATGCTTTCCGAAAAGCCATTGGTTGGTAAGTTGAACGGACTTTAATTAACCCAAGGTTAATTGCTTTGATATGGCTGCTCATATGTTATCTGGTCATATACGGACAACAAAGAATGAACATCACAGCAGATGAGGTTAGGGGTAGAATCAAGATCCCACGAAGTATCAGCACCGCTTTATAAAACCTTAGTAAAGCCACATCTGGAATCCTGCAACCCATTTTGGTCACCATACCACTTAAAAGATGTTGAGACTTTGGAAAGAGTGCAGAGAAGAGCAAGAAAGAGGATTAGGGGACTGGAGGCTAAAACATACGATGGACGGTTGCAGGAACTGGGTGTGTCTAGTTGAATGAAGAGAAGGACCAGGGGAGACATGATAGCAGCCTTCCAATATTTGAGGAGCTGCCACAGAGAGGAGGAAGTCAAGCTACTTTCCAAAGGACCAGAAGGCAAGAAACAATGGTTGGAAACTAATCAAGGAGAAATTGATTGGCGCAATACTGGAAGAAGAAGGACCTGCCTACAATTCAAGAATGGACTCTGAAAGTTATAAACTTAGCCGAAATGGCAAAAATTTCAGCA